CACACACGCACACACACACACGCACACACACACAGGGCGACTCGCAGACCCGGATCTTGGGCATTTCGCCAACCAATGAACACCGTGCATAGGAGGGCCTCCGCCTGGACAGTACTTCCCATCATCGAGGGACATGATTGCGTGCGCCCGCACCAGGAACACGGTTGGCCGGACACGAAGACAGGCACCGCGACCGGTGGCTTGACACCCTTTTTGGAGGCCCGCACAAACAGCCACAGAGGCAACTTGCGCCTTTGCTCCCTGCCCTCCCCCCGGTTATGGGTATACCATCGCCGGAGGGCCTGTTGCTCGCGCCTCCTGGCGACCCCCCTTCAGCAGTGCTGCCCATCAAGAGCCCGCGGGGCGCCTCAGCCCGAGCGAGGGGGGTCACGCAGGCCAGTCATTCCCGGATGCGCATCGTCGGGGCCGGGAACGAGGGACTCGCACGCGTCCACCAGACAACAAGCAGGGGGTGGTTGGTCGAGGAGAGGGGTCGGCCGCCCGCGTGGATCTTTCACCAGGGGCCAGTGCCCCCCTCGGGAATCAGCAACTCCCACCCCGCCCCCGTGCTGGCCCGCCCGGATAGCAGGGGGGGCGGCGGCGGCGAGCCGGGACGAGGGAACAGCCCCAGGCCGATGTGCCTGAAAGCCGACACAAGCCCCCCCTCTTCCTGTGGTCCCCCCCCCCCCTCCGCCGCCGGAAGAGTTGGCCGACCGCCGCTGGTGGGCAAGGGCGTCAACACGCCCCGCCAACGACGACGGCAGCGGCAAGGACGAACATGGCCTGCTCCGCCCGGCCCGAGCGCAATGTCACACACACAATACCGGCCCCACGATGCCCCGCGGGCAACTCCAACGCCGCATCCGACTGCCGATGGTCCGAGAGGCCCCTGCCGCTCTTCGAGAAAGGACCATGCCGCCCGGGGCAGCTGCCAGCCCTGCGCCGGCGAGGCCCTGCCAATCTCCCCGGACACCGTGGGGCATGCTCTCTGGCCGCCGCTCCCGCCTCTCGACCGCCTGGCAAGAAGGGGTTCCGAGGCTCGCCATCGCCCTCGTGCTCCTTGGCGTGCCGGACGAGCCCACCTTCGTGGGCATTAGCACACCCGCCCGCTCGACAGCGACAACCCACCCGCGGATTTCACCCCGATCGCCGTTTCTCCGCCGGGGGCCGCCGGAAGAACGGGCCGATGTGCCTCCTCCTCGCGCAAAGGAAGCAGGCTCCGCCAAGGTCCGAGCGAGGGCAGCTCACCCGGGCACATGCCCGGGGGTGCTCTATTCACAAGTGAGCTCGGCTCGGGCCTCACCTTGCCCGAAAAGGGAGAGATCCCGCCGAGACGTCCCGGGCCGGGGGGGGGAAGGGCTTTGCTGTGCACGCTCTTGCGCTGGGCCCGGGCACGCCAATGCCTTCGGACCTGTGTTGCACACGTTTGTGACATCCAATGGCAGACAAAGGTGCCCCCCTTCCTGCTTTCTCACCAGCAAGCATGAGCAACCCCGGACACGGGTAACATCCCCCTGGCCCGATCCTCGGAGGCCCTGGGGCTGGGCATCGCGGAGCCCCTCCTCCCCCCGGGGAAACCATGGGGCAGGACGCCCCCCGGTCACAGAGGTGAGACTCACAATGTTTCGCCTTCCCGCAGCAACGGCGGCCCTGTGGCATGGGGGTCGAGACCGTCTCGCGAGCTGCCTCGCTCGGTCTCGCCGCGGGCCCCATCGGGGGCTTTCCAAAGGACCCGCCGCCATACATGTGCCCTGGCCACAGGCCGTCACACCGGCCTTCGAGTGCATGCCCAGCAGCGCACTTGCCCCTGCCCTGGCGACGGGACCATGCAAGGCCTTTCGGCCGGGAGCCCCGTGAACCGGTGATGCTGGCATGCGCCGGCGCGGCGGCAGCACTCGGCCCAGTCGTCCGCGTGACAAGAGGGCGCGCCCAGAGACCTTCGCCAGATGCCCACCCCTCCGCCGACACCAAGATGGCCTCGCCCCCCCCCC